CTACGGATCAACCATATCAAAGATCTCTGTGTTAAAAATATAGTTGGAATGTGTAAAACGATTTTAATCATCACCTATTACTAATTCAACGTTTTTCCGAAGAATGGCAACATACAGATATACAGAATTTCTAATGGGGTTATCAGTCCAAAAATGGTTAAATACCATTCATGGTATTGACAAACATATGATGAAGCGAATCCCATGCAAATGGTACATTTTACTTCTTTTGCTCGACATAATCTGCGCACAATACAGGTTTATATTTCTTGGAAGCTGTAAATCTAGGGTAGTCTGATCGTTGTCAGGTGACGTCCGCCGCCATCTTGACGTGTTCGCGAAATCTGAATGATGGTTCTATTTGAATACAAGCCTGGAGAAAAGTTAGCGTTGATAATTATTTTGATATTTTTTCTAAATTAATTGTTAAATAATTAATTTTAGTACACATTAGCGTGGATTAGGCCATAGGAAATTTGATATTTTCCGAAAAATTCAAATCGCACACCGTTAGTTTAAAAAAAAGAAATAACATTTTAATTATCACATGTACTAACTTTAATCAGTAGAGCATATTACGGAATAAATTCAACTCTGTATTTCAATCACAGCAGAAATATATACAACACATGGTCCACGGCCCCGCTGTGTTTGTGCAGCTGTATAATATAACAAATAGTAGAATACCATGGGTCATGGGTCATGTACTAACTTTAATCAATAGAGCATATTACGGAATAAATTCAACTCTGTATTTCAATCACAGAAGAAATATATACAACACATGGCCCACGGCCCCGCTGTGTTTGTGCAACTGTATAATATAACAAATAGTAGAGTACTATGGGTCATGGGGGGGGGGGGGGGCATGATTTGACGGAGCCTTGGGCTTTTTTTTTTCGAAAAGCGCCACTCACAAGCACAAAAAGAAAAGGATCAGTAGCGCCAAGGGGCCCATTACTGGTCCTAAAATGATAATGCGTGTGCTATTTGCGATTTTTTTAAATTTAAATCACAGAGTGTTCTGGCGGAAAACACAAAATATAGCTTATCTAATGCTTTTTAATTGTTAAATAGTTGGATTTTACGCATACAGTTGATATCTATGATTTGTTGCAGTTGCTATGGAAACCAGGAGAAATAACTATCATAGCCCGTTTTGAAAATCGCCCAAGAACCCATTTCATAATGTCGATAAAATTACCTTTCCAACCATAACAAATAACATTTGTTCTACCATAGGTAGGGGTATCGGAAAATATACGGACTTAAACCGCTAGCCTATAACTAATGATAGAAAATTTAAGCATTGGTCTACTTCGAGTAACGTATTTGGCACAGCCATTCTTGAAAATTACTACAGAATATGATAATTGAATCTTAAAACGACACGTATCAGATTTGCCAAACAACATAATTTGAAAAAAGTTAACTCAGTGTGAAGTCAAATAACTTGTAATCAAAAATTATTTTTATAGACCGGCCAGTGTCGCTTTAAATGACCCTGTGTCTGCCTTATATCATCAATTTCCTGTAAGATTAAATACTTCGTTAGTTTCCTGTACAAGATTAAATATACCATTCAGCAATTCTAATGTAGGATGTATGTGGTACAAGTAATTAATTATATACCATTCCTATAGACTACTATATATTTTCGTCAGTGACGGGCTATACTATATACCGGAAAACACCGAAAAACAACCGGAAAACACCATGTTATACTGAATACCGGAAAATACCGGAAAAACACTAAATACCGGAAAACACACTAAATACCGGAAAACACCCTAAATAGGTAACCCGGAGAAGGGCTATACTATAAACCGGAAACTAACCCTAACTTAGCCTCTCCCCCAAATTCTTAAACCTAACCCAGGCACACAGAGGACCAGGCTCCCGGTTACCTATTTAGGGTGCCAGTCTCCGGGTTACCTATTTAGGGTATTTTCCGGTATTTAGTGTGTTTTCCGGTGTTTTCCGGTATTCAGTATAAAATGGTGTTTCCCGGTGTTTTCCGGTATATAGTATTGCCGGTCAGTGACCTTTCCCGAAAAGTCATGTCTGATCGTTATCCCAGTACTTTTTACAGTTTTGGGTTTTTTTTACTGTACGTTTTCTTGACATAGATGTAAAATATATTTTTACATACCAGAATAAATAATTCTTTACACACCGTTAATATGCGGTTATGTGACGTTTTCTGTCATTAGGGTATCACTTAAATTCATTCAGTCAGCCAATTCTACAACATTGACCATTTCTAACCCCAAGTTTAAAAATCCATGACAAGACCTTTATGTAAAATGGTCTGGCTGAAAGCGGTAAAGATGGGGGTTTGAAATCAACAGAATCTCGTATAAACTTAAAATAGCTATAGCGTAATAGTAAGTGCAGGGGGAATGCACCACGCACAAACAGTTACACAAGACAAATCTACGTGCAAGATACAATATACAGAAATCACAAACAACAAACACACATATCAGATTAAGTCCGGGAGCTAGCCGAAAGCGTCCACTTTGCTGTACAGTACCGGGCATATAGTGATACAAACTTCACTCAAAATGAAAAACAATAAGGAATGCAACTCGAGCAAAAAGAAAAAGGGGGATTTTTTTCCCAAATGTTGTATAAGACTAGTGTGAGTCATGATAGTAGTGCGAGTCATGATCGGCTCTGTGCTTCATGAAATATAAATGTTGGCATAGTAGGCGACATTACTCCTTGTCACATACAACCGGGGAATCGAAACTCCGTCAGTTGACTCAATGACAGGCCTTATGATACAACGCGGACGCGCTTACCATTCGACCATCAAACCCCCCTAAAACCTCTACAAGTAACCATTTACTCATTTACGCGAAATGTAGTGAAAAAGCCAGGTAAACTAAATGGCCTATCTAGTAGTCAAAAAATTGGGATCAAAACATTATAGCGTGCGAAAGAATTTAAGTGTATTAAGGGCAAGGTAAAGTGACAAAAATTGTCACAACACCTGAAATAGGGGGTCCTCAAAATATCATACACAACACCTTTAGTGCCTTTAATTTGGTGTCTAAACGTGCTTGAGACGATATTAAACAATACAAAATGGATGAAAATCAAAAATAATTACTCCGGAATTTTCAATTTTGGAAAATATGAAGCACATATACCAGTCAGCACTGCGCAGCTACAGTGTAAACATCTCAACGTGGATAATCACAAAGCCTCACAGAGATACCTGAATATATACACTACAACTATCAAGACAAATTCTATATCAAACAATCAAAATCATTATTATTCTAACATAAATGAAAAATAATGTATCCAAAATTTAGAAACAAGACCCTTTCGTAACATTTACCAACACTTGACAACGGCAGCCATGATAGTTAAGATTTTGACAATAATAAATAATGTTGATATTAAAAGATGTGACAGTTTTTGCAAATGAAGCGCAATAGTCTACAATATTACGATTTACCACCTGATATAAGAATAATTGTGATAGTATACGTTAAAAAGTATTTACTGCATTTTTATTTACGTTTCTGTGTCGAATTACCGCTCAACGGAAGAGTTGCTCGCATCAGTGAGTTCATACATGACTTATTTTTTAATATTTTCAATCTAGTAAATGACGTCTCATTTGTATTTTGATATGAAATAATCGTATTTCGCAGTTGTTTAAATTAAAAAATTAAAAATTTGTATTTAAAATTAACACACAAAAGTACGCTCTGGGAGCAATCAATCCGGCTTAACGGACGCAATTGGTTTTTGTGTGCAATACGTGCCGGATTCTATTTCAACCCTTTCTCTAAAAATGACTAAAGTATACCAGTATGTATTCACGCACGTATTTACAGATACGGATGTAGTATGAACGGACCTTAACGTGCGTGTTTCTAAATTCAATTTCTTGTTCCAGCTTTCTGTTATGTTTCGTAAAAAAAGTAGTCTTGATTATCCCGGCCTGGAAATCAGGCGTAGAATAGTCGGTAGACTGGTTAAGCGAGACTAATTACAAAACAAGGGCACATAACCTATTTTTTACTCACAAGTGCCTGGATGTTATAGCCGACACTCGTAACCATCTTTCAGTGTATTATTTACGGATGGTTAAATGGTCATAGCTTATTAAGTAGAACTTGAGTATAAATGTGCCAAACTGATTTAAGGCTTGGTGTATATATAAATATTGTGGTGTAATTGTCGAGATATTTGGAGATATTTATTGATGGTGGGTCACCCTACTGAGTTGTCAGTGTGGCGGAATAATATACACGATAGTGAGCGAAAGATATAAGTATATAAGATCTTACTTTTTGGATGTCTAGATTCGTCTTGGAAGTAAGTAAAATGATATTACCCACCGAATCCCATATTTAGTTATGGAAATAGTAGGAACCTTTCGCATCGGTACGAAAACGTAATGAGTGTTCGGCCAGTGAAAAACGTTACGCGTATGGAGCTGGATTTACATAGATATGCAAACGAATATGTTTCTTGTCTCTTATATTGAATTTTCCACCATTTTTCGAGGCTTTGTGTATATTGTTGATTGTGTAGAGTTCGTATAGAATGTGCTCAAAAGCAATATTCTGCTTGATTTGTTGTACATCTGCCAAAAAATCGACTGAAAACTTTGCCTAGACAGAGAAGTTCATAGAGTGGAAATTAACGCCATCTATCTAGTATCGTACGTCGGATTGCGAAACCGCGTTATAGAGGATACGAAAACGAAAACCTAAACGAACATATGGTCGTTTTGGTGTTCGTTTTCGTACCGATGCGAAAGGTCCCTATTTTCACATTTACGGACGGATTTCAAATAAAACTGATGTGGATATACTACACAATCCAGAATTTGAGAGTTTTAAACACGTTTTTGATGGTAAGATGAAGAAACTAAGTAACATGGGCCTGGTAAACGTCGTCCGAATCGTTTAACAACACTGTACAAAAAAGTGAATAAAATGTTAAAAGAAAGAATTTGTGTCCTTTTTCAGTGCAGAGTAGTAAACCTGTTGTGACTTGATACCTTTCATAACATGCAAGGAAGATCAAAGAAAATAACATCCCAAGGTGTGTAAACTTTAACTAGTTATGGGTTAACATTTGCAATAGAGTCAAATCCCACGTACTAATGAAAGTCAATGACATGTGTATATATATATATATATATATATATAAAAAGTGATATTTTGGTAAAAGCCTTACCATTTTCAGAATATCCATAAATTTCTATCTGTTTATAACATGGGGTTGATAGACCAAATAAGGTAATGTTGTCCCCCTGGTTTTGTGAGAATGGGGATGTATATTCCATATTTGGGAAGGAAATTAAAGCCAAGGTCAGTCTATGACGAACAGAAATAAGGGGGTGGTTATAAAGGAACACAACAAGGAAGTCCGATATAAGTACAGCAAGAGAGAAACAATTTGAGCAGAAAACACGAATACTGTCTATAGCCAAGATTATTACAATAGTATGCAGACACATCGTTTTCTCCGTGGTTTTCTCTGACTGAGACTTTCTATACTGCGTCACATGCAGACAGGTCTCTGGCGATTTCACCGGGTGTTATCAAATGATCGACCATTACCGTTTGTTTGGCAGAAATACTTCTTAATTTCATCTGGGCCAGGCTTAATAAACATATTACGTCTTTTCTCTTGTTTCCCAATCCATCTCAAAGGAACATACCTTAATAAGTGACGAAAGAACATAATACAAAAAGCATGGGCATTTTCATTCACCAGTAATAAGATCAATAAATTAAATTATTATGTACAGAAATTTGTCTTGGTAAAATCCCCCAAGCCATTCTATAGAAAAGAAATGAAATGGGGTTTAACATCCTACCTTTTCTGCATTAAGGTAACTGCAAGGGGGCGAGTTAGATTAAACGAGGTTTCGCTTGTAATAAGATCAATAAATTAAATTATTATGTACAGAAATTTGTCTTGGTAAAATCCCCCAAGCCATTCTATAGAAAAGAAATGAAATGGGGTTTAACATCCTACCTTTTCTGCATTAAGGTAACTACAAGGGGACGAGTTAGATTAAACGAGGTTTCGCTTGATTTGATTGATTGTTAAATAAAAAGGTCTTGTGTGCTTCCTAAAAGCGTAAATATATCAAAACGGATTTAGTTGAGCCGTTATTCGTAACTATCTCGAAGTATTGACAGGCGTCGGAGACGCTTTCTAAGCGATGTCTGGCTTGTAAAATTTCTCAGCAATGAAGTTTTTATAGGTTTTTTTTTATCCCTTACCACGAAAGCACTGCAGACGATGGTAATTTCCTGTGATGTTGAACTGGACAAAATATATACATAATATTACCAAGGTTGTGGACACTCTAGATGTCACAGTTTTTATCCGATTTTGATGAAACTTACAATGTATGCTTATAACCGTAACTTCTTGGATTATGGCCCCTGATTGTACGAAAACTCACATTTTTAGCTTGTGGGTACCCTAGAGGTCACATTTTTTATTGATTGTAAAAACCGTTCAAATATATCACAGTTACACCATTACGACTGGGTTCAAATGGCTGCCCCCCTTTATACAAATAATGTAAAAGCAAATAATATCCAGGGCGACCATCGGATGTACAGTCTGAACTAGCACCCGAACGCAAATGGCCCGGACCATTGGCCCATGTCAGTTATTTCGCCTGCTATACTTTCTGCTATTTACTGATTTCTAAAACTATATTTTTGACGATGGGGATGAAGAAATGCTTATAAAACATTTTCTTAAAACGCTAAATCCATCCGGGTTAACTGGTAACATGGATCACTTCACAATTTTTTGTGTCGTGGGCCTATGTATATATTCGAATAAGAAGATCTTAATCTGTCAAATTCATCAAGAAAACTCGAATAAAAATCAAAGTTGTTAATAAACCATACCCTAACCCCCATTCTCTTAATATATAACATAAATTCCCACGCATATAAGTGTTTTTTGACCATCAGAATTCTGCAAAATGTCATTTCCGGGACTCTAGATTCAAAATTTTCTCAGGGGGAGCTACCCCCCCCCCCCAACAAACTCGCACCTTTAGTGCTCGGCTCGTGGCTGTTCCATTCGTCTTAGGGACCTGTGCATCAGTCCGTCTCATTTTATAAATAAGTTAGATGTGCAAGTAATTAATAAGTGTCATCTATTTAGGGACACCAGCCTCAATGCTGATTTATTAAATACAACTAGATTAATGTCAAGTCGTCATTTGAACTGTCTTGGCTTGTCCAAAAAATAGGCATTGCGAGTTCTACTGTTTACTGTTGTAACAGCGGTCACCGATTATATATGTTGTAATGGACCGTCTGCTAGTCTTTCCTACAGACCATGTAGAAGACAAAGACAGCGGTCCGCAAAAATGAATTTTGGCACCGCGGACCCTCTAGACCTTGATACAGACTCCTCCACTTCATTAACCTTAAAACATTGACCAATAACTATGGGCTGTTCATTATTAAATGGTTCACTGCATATCTGACAAACCGGCGATACAGTATCCATCTGTGTCTCAACATCTGAATCATTTTGTGCCACGTGCTTCAAAAGGCACGACCAGCTTCCGCAGTGACCCGAGAGTGGCACCAGTCGACATACCCCTATGCCGCTACCGCAGTGAACTGGGAGACACTCCAAATGAAATTTAGTTGATACGGGATGAAAGTCCTTGTATTAGGTCTAAGGTAGGAATATCATTATCTCCAATCCCTAATCGGAAATCTAAATCCCAAATTGGAATTTCTCCTATATTGACACAGGGAATCACTTAATTGCTAAAATACGTACAAAAATAGATTCAGCTACCTCGAAAACATATATTTTGACACCAAACTTGATCCTTATGTAAAATTTGAATTTTCCCGCCAAAACTGACCACCATCTTGAATAACCCCTAATATTGACTCAGTGGTAACACTTATCACAAAAATATGTATTGAAATGGATTCAGTTACCCCGAAAACGTGTATTTTGATACCAAACTCGAGCATATTGTGATAATTGGGTTGAAATTGGAATTTACATACCAAAAGCGGTGGCCATTTTGGATTTTGGCCAATTTGACCCATTTGGGCAGGGCTTTCGGACTGGGACTTTTTTTGGGTCATAATATACGTCTAAACCAACCATTGCAGCAACTGCCCGCACTTTTGCTATTTTGCCTGGACTATTGGTGAATCTAATGTTTCAGCTATATTAAGAACACTAGGACGTTCAACCCTATTTCATTTCATTTCATTTCCTACTAATCATAATCACCGGCAAGGGCGTTCTTGTGTCAAAAGCTCCCAAAGTATTGCAAAAAAAGGGACGGATAAGGAAATACATGTTATAGATATGAATATTCTTGACAAATTTATGGATGTTTTTATAAAATCATTTAAATTTTGGATGTGATACCATATCCATAACATATCTTTCCTTGTCGTCACTTTTTGCAATACTCTGGGTGCTGTTGCCCCCCCCCCCCCCAAAAAAAAATCAAAAAAACAAAACAACAAACAAACAGCCATTTTCAAGTCTTTTCAATTATTAGTACGGCCGTGAATAGCCGTTTCTAAATAATCCCTCCGCCTATCACGTTGCTTGTGAACGGATACTCTGGTGAAACGTCTCTTTAAGGGAGCTAAACTTCTAACTCAGTATTTTCCATAAAATTCGAAATTAATGTTGTTATCTTGCCGTGAAAATATGGGATCCTAATATCCAATATTTAAATCAGTGCACGAGTCGTATATTTCTATGGTTTCGGGCGCCAATTGTAATGAATAAAGAAAACATATCCTACAAAGACAATGCAGAAGTAATTAGTAATGGCTGATTCACAAACGAAAGGGGAATTTTAAAAATAAACCGTGTAGAATGGACCAAAAAGGCGTAAACGACTGCTGTTCAATTTGGACCGTTCACGTGATTCACCGAAAATAATTGATTAAAAATGAGTAATTACAATAATAAATTTAACAGTTGAATATAAATCACTTTATATACATTCATATTACATTAATATGTGCTTTGGGACCCATTTTCGTCATTATTTTCATGTGTTCCAAGGCGTGCCGTTGGCAAAAATGGTTGAGAACCACGGATTTAAAGGTTCCAGCTATACACCCTTTAAAGGAACAGCAATTGAGAATATTGTCAAACACAGAGTGTATAACTAATCTTTCCACAAATTATTCTTATTCAGGAATCTTTATAACTATATCTATTACTTTCTATTGGTAACTATCGTAAGTGGAGTTGAGTGACCGAATGGTCTAACGTATGCGCTTTGGAGCATAAGGTCTGTCATTGAGTCAAGTGGCGTGGTTTCCATCCCACGTTTGTAGGTGATAACCTCATGGATTTTCTGCGGGTTCTCCGGTTTCCTCACTCAGTAAAGATCCCTACGCGCAAGCGAATTATTGAAATAAAATTGAACCATACGTTAGTCCCGCAATGACCTAGGTTGAGTCGAGTGGACGCTAAACTAACTCTCTCTCTGTCTTTGGTCTTTGGTCACGATGTTTCTTAACTTGGTTTAAACAATTTTATTTCGAGTACGACATGAACTAGTTTATACAATACTGATATAATGTGTTTCAAAACAAGCCGAAGCTTATATAAATTCATCTCTTTAACTTAAACATGGAGTGTGTTTATTTTTTACTGCAAAGGTTAAGGCCTGGTAATGCTTTTCACAATGACAATTCTAGTCAATCAAATTGAAATCATATCTGTATTGCGTTTTATCTTTATAGTTCTGATTTGCTACACACATAAGATCTAACTAATCAGAACTGCTGCAGTCAAGGTTTAAAAACTGTCAGAGTATCGTACAGGCTGCTCAGTGCAATAGTGGTCTATATCAGTTAGACCTATATCAGGAATCCTGAGTGTGAAATCTCTTAGTGCAGTAGTGGTCTCCACTAAAAAAATATAGGTAGCAGCACTTATTTTCATTTTCGGTTTGAGAAAAACACATGGTGCAATCTCCAAAATCCAATATGGCAGCGCCCATACAGAATCAGTCCTGCATGAAGAAAAACATCCCTCATTCAGAGGTTTTGAGG